ACCACCACCGCCCCCTCGCCCCCCTTCCCCGACCCAGCGCTCGTCTCCGTCTCTACTATACCGACCCCCCTGATGTGGCCCATTCTAGCCTCCAACGGTGTGCTGCTTATAGTCGTTATCCTCATCACCTTCACGCTCGGCTCTATCGTCCCCGTCTCTATCCTGCGTCTGTCTCCTTTGCTCAGTAGGGAGGAGGATCGCCCACCACTCGAGGTGGTCGCCTCGACGTTATCTGTTTCTCCTTGTTCCACGTCGATCCTCCCCCCCTCGGTCGTTTCCTTCGAGTCGTCGTCGTTGTTGCGATTCGCTTTATCGCCGCCACCACGCCTCCTGCCCCGACCCCGTCGATTTCGACGATTTTTACCGTGGGTGGGCATGCTGACCTCCTCCTCCTCCTCCTTCTCCTCCTCGTCGTCGACCGTCGAAGATTCGTTCGATCCTACGTACAAATCTGGCGCACAATCTTTTCTTTGCCCTCCAGTCGGTTTTGTTTTCTTATTATTTTGCTCTATTCCTGTGTTCGCGTGAGAGAAGGAATATCCTCGACGAGGTTTCGAATTAGTTTTTAGACGTAGTACGAGGTTGGCTCGGGTATTTTACGTGATTGGATTGGACGAGTTTTGATTTGATTTGAACGCGAGTTGAATGTAACCCCGTGTTTCCAGTGGCGAACGAGGGATTATAAGAGGGAGGATAATTCTTTCCTTTCTGTGTTTACTATGGGAAGAATCGTTTAAATTCGAAGCACGGCGAGTGTAAGATATTAGAATTTTAAGGCTGATCGAAATATATTAATCGAATCGAGAAGAGGATGATTATATCGAATACCTTTTCTCGTGGCGATGAGATTAGAGGTAATATAAATTTGCGAGGAATAATCCTTAGAAGAAAGAGGAATTTTATGCTTAATAATGTTACGTGTTTTTAATTTTACATCCGTGAAATTTTTAAACGATGATTACGATCTGGTTAGTCGAAACTACGTATGTGCGTATTTATATTGTTCGAACGAGAGAATGAAGAAAAAGAAATTTGACGTAGTCTTGCGATCGTGCAACAAGCAATGACCCAATTTGTCAGACCAGCATTCCAATGTATCGGCTAAAGTGTGGTCGAAGAGGAGAAATAGGGAAATACTCACTTTTCTTGGCTTCGTCCCGTTGCTGGATCAACGAACTCTTTGGGCCACCGTTCTGATTGGCGTAGCTCTGATCGGGTTTTGCGTCATCTGAAAAATAAATTTCACATCAAACCATCGAATTGCTAATTTAAAGTGGCAAAATCGAGAAAAGAATCTGAATCTGCGAAAGAAAGAGTCGATTTTTACAGAGTTCTACCTTATCTAAGCAGTTACACTACTTTATCCAGCGAGTTGATATCGCGCTGTAATTTGAAATTACAAGTGATATTTGTTTCCTGTAATCGATCTTTTTTCCTTTTCTCTTCTTTTATTTATTTAATCTCGGACAAATTTCAGAATTTTCAAATCAATTATACATTCTATTTCTTATTATCCATATACTTTATTCCTTTACCATGAATTTATTTATTATTTGTTTATTAATTATACTTATTATTTATTAATTAAAGACAAATTAACGTTACAAAAATATTGTTTCGAAAAATATATATATAATCCCTATTCCTAAAAATTAAGACACGTATCCGAGATAATGAGTAACGGTCGGACGGATTAACTCGTCCTTCCTTATCGACCTTAAGAAATTTTTCAAAAAAGTGCACAAAACCGAAATAACTTTGGAACTCGTGCACGAACCTGATTCATACGAAATCCATCAACGATCGCTAGATCCGCGTGTCCGGTGACAGTCGGTTACGAATTCGGAACGAGACGGGCCACAAATCAGCGGCATGGCCTGTAAGGTCCATGAATCGCGGGAATGGACTGAGCGCGAACAGATCCGCCACCCGTGAAACACTCGTGTCCCCACCCACGCGTGCCGATCCTCCTGTCCGCCCGTGTATCGCCAACGTGTATTGTTTGTATACATGCTTATACGAATATCAGGGTTTCTCAAATTATTTTTTTTCCTCTATTCACACGTTTTGAGCCATCAAATAATTTGTGAAGTAGTAAGCAAAGAAAGTAAGCGATGGTGAGAAAAAAGTATCGTGATAGAATGAAAATTTTTGTGAAACTAAATTCAAGAAAATAGAATCGAAAGATCTGTTTGAAATATATATATTTTGATTGCGTTTGAATATTTTATATTTTTTCGCATTACGAATTCTTTGGAAAATTTATTATCGTTTTGTCGAGAGATATTCGCGAATCTCTCGAGTTGGAATGGTTTTTTACGTGTAAATTGGTAAATTCGTGTAAATTGTTGAAAAAGTATGATTATAATTCATCGACGAGGAGATTACAAATTTAGCCGTGAAAAACGGTGAAAATGAATTATTTAAGGGGAAACGTATCGTTAGCAAAAATAAATTTATCCATTGAAATAAATTCTGCAACGTCGCGCATTGGAATATATTGGACAGAAAATATCGCGATGCGAATGGATCGTTGGGATTGTGCTAGATAAAATGAAGTACGTACACCTCTTGTTTACAAAGTTCATAAACCTGCCATGAATATTTAATACCATCCACTGTGCCATAATTTGAAATTAAGCTGCCTAAAGTTTGTAATAAACGACACCTAAGCATATAACCAAAAATAATCAAATCTAAATTCAAAGTTCCAATAATAAAACAATGAGAAAAAAAAATTATAAAATAAATCGCAAGATTTAAATTAATTTTCCCAATCGTTCGTAAAGAAGATCGACACTCGGTCGGTAAATCCCATTAAACGCGTCGCAAAATTATAGAATAATCTTTCGCGTCGATGCTTTTAAAAAAATTACTAGAAAAACTAAAATTCTGAACAATTATTGTTCGTAATTCCAAAGCATAGAAAAACCGATTCTCTATCCTATCGGTGAATAAAAATTTGAGAAACGCTGCGCGTATCAAGTGACAAAGTTCTCGTACGCGAATTCGAGGTACGCATGCGCGGCCAGACCCCTGAATGACGTTTTTCGGTGAAGCGTGTGCGCATATACGGATCATACGTGCATTAAAACACAACCGCGCCTCGTCTGTGGTGCGAAACACAAACACGTTCCAACAATCTTTGTGGAAGGATCTGATACACGTCGTCGCACGAGGTGCGTGCATACCTCCTCTTCGCCCCTCCGCCTCTCACGTGGTTCATGAATAGCGCCACTTCCGAGTTGAACTTCCTTCCGTGTAAACAATGGCGGGAGAACCGACTGCTATCCCGAGCACACCCATCCATTTTCCACACTTTTCATTACATCACGTGTACAGACACACGCCCGAATTCGATTGGAAATAGTTCGAACGATTAGAATCTAAATCGGTTGTTGCATTCTCTCTTTTTTTAACCCTCTTCTTTGATTTGATAAATATTAACTTTGGAATGGCACGATAGGA